AAGATTTATAGTTTGTGTATTGAGTAATCTCTACAAGATTTATAGTTTAGTTTGTGTATTGAGTCATCTATACAAGATTTATAGTTTGTGTATTGAGTCATCTCTACAAGATTTATAGTTAGTTTGTGTATTGAGCAATCTCTAAAAGATTTATAGTTAGTTTGGTTATTGAGTCGTCTCTACAAGATTTATAGTTTAGTTTATGTATTGAGTCATCTATAAAAGATTTATAGTTAGTTTGTGTATTGAGTAATCTCTACAAGATGTATAGTTAGTTTGTGTATTGAGTCATCTATACAAGATTTTTATAGTTTAGTTTGTGTATTGAGTCATCTCTACAAGATGTATAGTTAGTTTGTGTATTGAGCAATCTCTAAAAGATGTATAGTTAGTTTGGTTATTGAGTAATCTCTACAAGATTTATAGTTAGTTTGTGTATTGAGTCACCTCTACAAGATTTATAGTTAGTTTGTGTATTGAGTCATCTCTACAAGATTTATAGTTAGTTTGTGTATTGAGCAATCTCTAAAAGATGTATAGTTAGTTTGGTTATTGAGTAATCTCTACAAGATTTATAGTTAGTTTGTGTATTGAGCAATCTCTAAAAGATTTATAGTAAGTTTGGTTATTGAGTCATCTCTACAAGATTTATAGTTAGTTTGTGTATTGAGTCATCTATACAAGATGTATAGTTAGTTTGTGTATTGAGTCATCTATACAAGATGTATAGTTAGTTTGTGTATTGTGTCATCTCTAAAAGATTTATAATTAGTTTGGTTATTGAGTCATCTCTACAAGATTTATAGTTAGTTTGTGTATTGAGTCATCTCTACAAGATTTATAGTTTAGTTTGTGTATTGAGTCATCTATACAAGATTTATAGTTAGTTTGTGTATTGAGCAATCTCTACAAGATTTATAGTTAGTTTGTGTATTTAGCAATCTCTACAAGATTTATAGTTTAGTTTGTGTATTGAGTCATCTCTACAAGATATATAGTTAGTTTGTGTATTGAGTCATCTCTACAAGATTTATAGTTTAGTTTGTGTATTGAGTCATCTATACAAGATTTATAGTTTGTGTATTGAGTAATCTCTACAAGATTTATAGTTTAGTTTGTGTATTGAGTAATCTCTACAAGATGTATAGTTAGTTTGTGTATTGAGTCATCTATACAAGATTTATAGTTTAGTTTGTGTATTGAGTCATCTCTACAAGATTTATAGTTTAGTTTGTGTATTGAGTAATCTCTACAAGATGTATAGTTAGTTTGTGTATTGAGTCACCTCTACAAGATGTATAGTTAGCTTGTGTATTGAGTCATCTCTACAAGATTTATAGTTTAGTTTGTGTATTGAGTAATCTCTACAAGATGTATAGTTAGTTTGTGTATTGAGCAATCTCTACAAGATGTATAGTTAGTTTGTGTATTGAGTAATCTCTACAAGATTTATAGTTTAGTTTGGTTATTGAGTAATCTCTACAAGATTTATAGTTAGTTTGTGAATTGAGTCATCTCTACAAGATGTATAGTTTAGTTTGTGTATTGAGCAATCTCTAAAAGATGTATAGTTAGTTTGGTTATTGAGTAATCTCTACAAGATTTATAGTTAGTTTGTGTATTGAGCAATCTCTAAAAGATTTATAGTAAGTTTGGTTATTGAGTCATCTCTACAAGATTTATAGTTAGTTTGTGTATTGAGTCATCTATACAAGATGTATAGTTAGTTTGTGTATTGAGTCATCTATACAAGATGTATAGTTAGTTTGTGTATTGTGTCATCTCTAAAAGATTTATAGTTAGTTTGGTTATTGAGTCATCTCTACAAGATTTATAGTTAGTTTGTGTATTGAGTCATCTCTACAACATTTATAGTTTAGTTTGTGTATTGAGTCATCTATACAAGATTTATAGTTAGTTTGTGTATTGAGCAATCTCTACAAGATTTATAGTTAGTTTGTGTATTGAGCAATCTCTACAAGATTTATAGTTTAGTTTGTGTATTGAGTCATCTCTACAAGATTTATAGTTTAGTTTGTGTATTGAGCAATCTCTACAAGATTTATAGTTTAGTTTGTGTATTGAGCAATCTCTACAAGATTTATAGTTTAGTTTGTGTATTGAGCAATCTCTACAAGATTTATAGTTTAGTTTGTGTATTGAGTCATCTCTACAAGATTTATAGTTTGTGTATTGAGTAATCTCTACAAGATTTATAGTTTAGTTTGTGTATTGAGTCATCTATACAAGATTTATAGTTTGTGTATTGAGTCATCTCTACAAGATTTATAGTTAGTTTGTGTATTGAGCAATCTCTAAAAGATTTATAGTTAGTTTGGTTATTGAGTCGTCTCTACAAGATTTATAGTTTAGTTTATGTATTGAGTCATCTATAAAAGATTTATAGTTAGTTTGTGTATTGAGTAATCTCTACAAGATGTATAGTTAGTTTGTGTATTGAGTCATCTATACAAGATTTTTATAGTTTAGTTTGTGTATTGAGTCATCTCTACAAGATGTATAGTTAGTTTGTGTATTGAGCAATCTCTAAAAGATGTATAGTTAGTTTGGTTATTGAGTAATCTCTACAAGATTTATAGTTAGTTTGTGTATTAAGTCACCTCTACAAGATTTATAGTTAGTTTGTGTATTGAGGTCATCTCTACAAGATTTATAGTTAGTTTGTGTATTGAGCAATCTCTAAAAGATGTATAGTTAGTTTGGTTATTGAGTAATCTCTACAAGATTTATAGTTAGTTTGTGTATTGAGCAATCTCTAAAAGATTTATAGTAAGTTTGGTTATTGAGTCATCTCTACAAGATTTATAGTTAGTTTGTGTATTGAGTCATCTATACAAGATTTATAGTTAGTTTGTGTATTGAGTCATCTATACAAGATGTATAGTTAGTTTGTGTATTGTGTCATCTCTAAAAGATTTATAATTAGTTTGGTTATTGAGTCATCTCTACAAGATTTATAGTTAGTTTGTGTATTGAGTCATCTCTACAAGATTTATAGTTTAGTTTGTGTATTGAGTCATCTATACAAGATTTATAGTTAGTTTGTGTATTGAGCAATCTCTACAAGATTTATAGTTAGTTTGTGTATTTAGCAATCTCTACAAGATTTATAGTTTAGTTTGTGTATTGAGTCATCTCTACAAGATATATAGTTAGTTTGTGTATTGAGTCATCTCTACAAGATTTATAGTTTAGTTTGTGTATTGAGTCATCTATACAAGATTTATAGTTTGTGTATTGAGTAATCTCTACAAGATGTATAGTTAGTTTGTGTATTGAGCAATCTCTACAAGATTTATAGTTTAGTTTGTGTATTGAGTCATCTCTACAAGATTTATAGTTTAGTTTGTGTATTGAGTAATCTCTACAAGATGTATAGTTAGTTTGTGTATTGAGTCACCTCTACAAGATGTATAGTTAGCTTGTGTATTGAGTCATCTCTACAAGATTTATAGTTTAGTTTGTGTATTGAGTAATCTCTACAAGATGTATAGTTAGTTTGTGTATTGAGCAATCTCTACAAGATGTATAGTTAGTTTGTGTATTGAGTAATCTCTACAAGATTTATAGTTTAGTTTGTGTATTGAGTCATCTCTACAATATTTATAGTTAGTTTGTGTATTGAGCAATCTCTATAAGATGTATAGTTAGTTTGTGTATTGAGTAATCTCTACAAGATGTATAGTTTGTGTATTGAGTCATCTCTACAAGATTTATAGTTTAGTTTGTGTATTGAGTCATCTCCACAAGATGTATAGTTAGTTTGTGTATTGAGCAATCTCTATAAGATTTATAGTTTAGTTTGTGTATTGAGCAATCTCTACAAGATGTATAGTTTAGTTTGTGTATTGAGTCATCTCTACAAGATTTATAGTTTAGTTTGTGTATTGAGTCATCTCTAGAAAATTTATAGTTAGTTTGTGTATTTAGCAATCTCTACAAGATTTATAGTTTAGTTTGTGTATTGAGTCATCTCTACAAGATATATAGTTAGTTTGTGTATTGAGTCATCTCTACAAGATTTATAGTTTAGTTTGTGTATTGAGTCATCTATACAAGATTTATAGTTTGTGTATTGAGTAATCTCTACAAGATGTATAGTTAGTTTGTGTATTGAGCAATCTCTACAAGATTTATAGTTTAGTTTGTGTATTGAGTCATCTCTACAAGATTTATAGTTTAGTTTGTGTATTGAGTAATCTCTACAAGATGTATAGTTAGTTTGTGTATTGAGTCACCTCTACAAGATGTATAGTTAGCTTGTGTATTGAGTCATCTCTACAAGATTTATAGTTTAGTTTGTGTATTGAGTAATCTCTACAAGATGTATAGTTAGTTTGTGTATTGAGCAATCTCTACAAGATGTATAGTTAGTTTGTGTATTGAGTAATCTCTACAAGATTTATAGTTTAGTTTGTGTATTGAGTCATCTCTACAAGATTTATAGTTAGTTTGTGTATTGAGCAATCTCTATAAGATGTATAGTTAGTTTGTGTATTGAGTAATCTCTACAAGATGTATAGTTTGTGTATTGAGTCATCTCTACAAGATTTATAGTTTAGTTTGTGTATTGAGTCATCTCCACAAGATGTATAGTTAGTTTGTGTATTGAGCAATCTCTATAAGATTTATAGTTTAGTTTGTGTATTGAGCAATCTCTACAAGATGTATAGTTTAGTTTGTGTATTGAGTTATCTCTACAAGATTTATAGTTTAGTTTGTGTATTGAGTCATCTCTAGAAGATTTATAGTTAGTTTGTGTATTGAGTCACCTCTACAAGATTTATACTGCCCCACCACCCAGCCTCCCTGATTCATGTTCCGCCCTTTCTCAATCCACTGCTGGATGAAGATCTTTCCCCAACCCGCTGGTCATGCCGGTGGCTCGACAAGGTTGCCCTTAGCAGAGCTGGAAGTTGAGTTTGTAACCCTTTCCCCGCCCCTCCGATTCGTGCATACGCACGGTGGATCACGCTTACCGACTTTGACAATGTTGCCCATTGTCCAGGTGGCGCTGCCGCTGGCAGGGACCACGAGGCACACCACGAAGGACACGTTCCCTCCACTGTTGCACGGAATGGAGGTGATGCTCGGGGTTCCCTTCGTCGGGTCGACCTCGGGCATGGTCGTTATCCGCATCATGCCGTTGCCCTCGAACACCATCAAGCCGTCCAGCACCTGGCAGAGGTACGTGCCTGCAGGGGATGCGCCCGCGCTCCGATTTGATTTTGACCGGGTAAGGCCCCGGCTGAGCTACGTGGCTCTTTGTCAGAAGCGACCTGGCTGCCACAAATGAAGGCTCGTCGAGGCGGGGAATCACCGTCATCGTCACGTGGACATTTATAGCCAAATACTCTAAACGCAATGTTGATAAAAAAATGTGGAGGGAAAAAACGGAGCGCTCGGAGAAAAATCCCCGCTCCCCCCTTGTCTCCACGCCCCCCTTGTCTCCATGCCCCCCTTGTCTCCACACCCCCCTTGTCTCCACGCCCCCCTTGTCTCCGTGCCCCCCTTGTCCCCGCGCCCCCCTTGTCCCCGCGCCCCCCTTGTGTCCACGCCCCCCTTGTGTCCACGCCCCCCTTGTCCCCGCACCCCCCTTGTCTCCACGCCCCCCTTGTCTCCACGCCCCCCATGTCTCCACGCCCCCCTTGTCTCCACGCCCCCCTTGTCCCCGCGCCCCCCTTGTCTCCACGCCCCCCTTGTCCCCGCGCCCCCCTTGTGTCCACGCCCCCCTTGTCTCCACGCCCCCCTTGTCCCCACGCCTCCCTTGTCCCCGCGCCCCCCTTGTCTCCACGCCCCCCTTGTGTCCACGCCCCCCTTGTCTCCGTGCCCCCCTTGTCCCCGCGCCCCCCTTGTCCCCGCGCCCCCCTTGTCCCCACGCCTCCCTTGTCCCCGCGCCCCCCTTGTGTCCACGCCCCCCTTGTCCCCGCGCCCCCCTTGTCTCCACGCCCCCCTTGTCTCCACGCCCCCCTTGTCTCCACGCCCCCCTTGTCTCCACGCCCCCCTTGTCTCCACGCCCCCCTTGTGTCCACGCCCCCCTTGTCTCCACGCCCCCCTTGTCCCCACGCCCCCCTTGTCCCCACGCCTCCCTTTTCCCCGTGCCCCCCTTGTGTCCACGCCCCCCTTGTCTCCGTGCCCCCCTTGTCCCCACGCCCCCCTTGTCCCCACGCCCCCCTTGTCCCCGTGCCCCCCTTGTCCCCACGCCTCCCTTTTCCCCGTGCCCCCCTTGTGTCCACGCCCCCCTTGTCTCCGTGCCCCCCTTGTCCCCACGCCCCCCTTGTCCCCACGCCCCCCTTGTCCCCATGCCCCCCTTGTCCCCACGCCTCCTTTGTCTCCGTGCCCCCCTTGTCCCCACGCCCCCCTTGTCCCCGCGCCCCCCTTGTGTCCACGCCTCCTTTGTCCCCGCGCCCCCCTTGTCCCCACGCCCCCCTTGTCCCCCGCGCCCCCCTTGTCTCCGTGCCCCCCTTGTCCCCACGCCCCCCTTGTCCCCGCGCCCCCCCCCTGTCCCCATGTCCCCCTTGTCTCCACGCCCCCCTTGTCCCCACGCCCCCCTGTCCCCGTGTCCCCCTTGTCTCCACGCCCCCCTGTCCCCGGGACCCCCCCCCCCCGGTACTCCCAGCATCACACCTTGATGCACGAGCTGCACGTTCGGGATGGTGAGGTTTGGCCAAGCACCCACGACGCTGGCATATATAATGCTGTTTGTGTTCAATTCCAGACCGTCCTTGAACCATGTCACGATCTCGTTGGACCTCAGGTTGCGGCCGTACGTGATCTTCACACTCTCGCCGGGTTTTGGGTTCATGCTATTGAACGTTATCCCGTAACCTGCAGGGGTCAACAGGAAGAGAGAGCATGTGTCAACCGAGAGTCTAAGGGGTCACTGTGTCTTTGTGTGTTCACGTGAGTATACGTGGCTGTGCGGCGGTTAGCGTGCTGCGCTACGAACCCGGCGGCCCGAGTTAGATTCCCGTTCACTACAAATACCAGCGACGATTATCTGAACCGGTCCTGGGACTCGCCCAGGTCGACTTAGTCTCAAATGAGCACCTGGTGCAGTGTGCAAGCATCGCCAATGGGGAGACAAAGGCGGCCGGCCGTGGTGCGGTCCACCCATCTCTTGGCGTGGTGCCGTTTAGGCCTTCACAGTCCGCTCATTAACAGAACTTGTCCCATCAGCCTGTTGAAGGCGATACGGTGGGGGATCTTTGTCCTTATGGGTATAAGTAAGAAGCTGTGTGTACACGTGTGTCTCCGTGCGCGCGTGCGAGCACACTCACGTGTCACGTAGAAGCCCACGTCAATGCTGCTGCTCACGTTATGCTTGTCGACGGCGAGCCAGCAGCTGTACGTCCGCGGCTGCTCCACATCCTCCCACAACACGGTATGGTTGATGCACCTGGGCCCAGCCGTGTTGTTAAAGACTGCGGAGGTGGGGGCGGTGGTGGTGGAATGGGGGGCACGGGCAAATTGTATAGGGGAGGACAATTTATTCCTTGTGTAAAGTTCGTGCGGGAGGTTCATAAAAACGCACATTTCACGTTCGGAGTGTCTACCCGTGGGCAGCTAGCGCCGCCGTACCGCTCACAGACTTCCTACGTGCCCAATTTAAAAGGGGCAATTTACAGAACTAGGCTCCCCATGCACAGCGTCGCACGAGCGTCGTCTTCTCAGCCCACCTTGGCTGGGGCCCAATACTTGGTCTGCCACCTTCCACGTGATGGTGTAGTTGTACTCGGGGTTGTCGGTCATTGCGAAGCAGCAGGAAAGCTCCTTCGTATCCCCGCTCCGCAGGGTGACCCCGCCGGCCGGGCCGAGCCCCCAAGGCGCCGTGAGCAGCACAGGAGGCGGCACGGTGATGACGTCGTAGTAAAGGACGCCGTACAAATTGAAGGAGCACTCGTAATCGCCTGCAAGGAGCGGTCGATGTTGTTGCCACCGACCGCGGTCGAAAGGCACTCGTTACCATCAGACGCGTCGCCACCATTGTCATTGTTATCCTCCTTATAGCCACTGTGATCGTTATCATCGTCGTCGTCGTCATGGCAGTCATCGTCATGGCAGTCATCGTCGATAGGAGTCGCAGGTAAGGGGAGTCGCAGGCAAGGGGAGTCGCAGGTAAGGGGAGTCGCAGGCAAGGGGAGTCGCAGGTCAGGGGAGTCGCAGGTAAGGGGAGTCGCAGGTAAGGGGAGTCGCAGGCAAGGGGAGTCGCAGGTAAGGGGAGTCGCAGGCAAGGGGAGTCGCAGGCAAGGGGAGTCGCAGGCAAGGGGAGTCGCAGGTAAGGGGAGTCGCAGGTAAGGGGAGTCGCAGGTAAGGGGAGTCGCAGGTAAGGGGAGTCGCAGGTAAGGGGAGTCGCAGGTAAGGGGAGTCACAGGTAAGGGGAGTCGCAGGTAAGGGGAGTCGCAGGTAAGGGGAGTCGCAGGTAAGGGGAGTCGCAGGCAAGGGGAGTCGCAGGTAAGGGAAGTCGCAGGTAAGGGGAGTCGCAGGTAAGGGGAGTCGCAGGTAAGGGGAGTCGCAGGTCAGGGGAGTCGCAAGCAAGGGAAGTCGCAGGTAAGGGGAGTCGCAGGTAAGGGGAGTCGCAGGTAAGGGGAGTCGCAGGTAAAAGGACCGCTACTGTGATCCTCAAGTCAAACACAATTCCTGCTCCAATGACCATTGAGGCACTGGTGCTCATCTCCCGTTAACAGGCCTGAGCTAGTGGTGGAAATCCCACATTGCTATGGCGGGGGATAGCCTATCCATGGTACAACCGCTGTTGACTTCCCCACACAGTGGTGCTCGTATCCTCGGCCCCAGAGCGAGGGATGACGGGCCGAGTGAACCCACCCCTCACCCACCCGCCAGGGTGTGAACTCGCACCGTTCCGACTGCGGAGCCGCTCGCTCGACCGCAGAGCAGCCGAGCCGCCGCGACGCTCGCCCTAACAGCGGTGGTGAGCGGTGGGAAAGTATCATCATCATCATCATCCCTGTACTTGCACGTGCCCGACCGATGTTGCTCACCTTGGATCACCTTCTTCACGCTATTGAAGGTGAGTGTCACCTCGTTCCCTAAATGGGTCTGCTGCCCTTCTCCGATGTCACTGCCATTCCACATTCCATTAGTTGGGGCCCCTTCCTCCAAGCTGCACTGCAGCACGAGCCAATCTCCCACAAGCAGGCTGTCCAAACTCTGGTTCTTAATCATTCCTGCACATCGCATCAACATCATTGTCAGCATCATCATCATTATCAGCATCACCATCATTGTTATCAGCATCATCATCTTTATCAGCATCGTCATCATCATTAACAGCATCATCATAATGATCAGCATCATTATCAGCATCACCATCATTATCACCATCTTCAGCATTAGCATCATTATCAGCATCATCATTATTAGCATTATCATCAGCATCATCATTAACAGCGTCATCATCGCGGGACAAGACGGTTCCAGCGACTCGAGACACGCATCGTACACGCTGTGACAGCACAGTGAGTTAGCGCTACGCCGCGCTACGAACCCGGCGCCCCGAGTTCGATTCCCGCTCACGACCAACACCGTTGACGGTGATCTGAACCGGCCCTGGGCCTCCCCTAGCTCGACTCAGCCTCTAATGAGTACCTGGTGCGGTGTGTAAACATCGTCACTGGGGAGACAAAGGTGGTCGGGTGTACGTATGTTGAACTTGTTTCGCTCCTGTACGGAGCCAACCGTGCTAATCGGAGGTGCGGGCGTGGTGCTGGCCACCCACCCCCTCGTGTACCGTGCCGGCCTTAATAGGCGCTCGCCAATAGCACTTGCCACAACAATATGTGAAGGCTGTATGGGTGATCTTTGCCTTTGGTAAGGCAAAGACGTGGTCACCTTGAGTCGGTGCAATAACAACCAGCCAATAATGTATTCACATGGCGCGCACTTAACCACTGCCTCGGGAGCTCGACGCGCCACGCGTCACATCCCATCGCGACCATTCCAAGGGGGCAAAGGGACCCTCCAACCCCCAGCGACAGCTGCCCCTGCGCGGCGCAATGGTGGGGTATTGGTCCTTGGCAGTTGGGAGTAACGCGGTGTAATCCCAGCGAACTCACGCGGTGGGTACATTTTTTAAAATGGTGTACCGTGACGCCGGCAGGCACGCAGTAGCGCGTTCCTTTGGGAGCACGTCACGGGATGTCGAAACGTCCGCTGCGAAGCAGGCGACGCACACGTTTGGGTGAATACGGCCCGCAGTATTAACCAGGGCGGCCTGGCCACGCGTGATGATTGCTCATCATCGAAGTGGCTGATATCATCGTCATCATCACCGTACGCGGGATTCATTGATCGTAGCAACAAAATAATCTAAACGTGCGTTGACTCGAGGCGGCAGGGAGTAAAACCGGAGGAACCCGGAGAATAATCGAAGGCGATCACCACGCAGAGAGTGAGAGAGAGAACACGCGGAGAGAGAGGGGACACGCGGAGAGAGAGGGAACACGTGGAGAGAGAGGGGACACGCGGAGAGAGAGAGAGAACACGCGGAGAGTGAGAGAACACGCGGAGAGTGAGAGAACACGCGGAGAGAGAGAGAACACGTGGAGTAAGAGAGAACACGCGGAGAGAGAGAGAACACGCGGAGAGAGAGAGAACACGCGGAGATAGAGGGAACACGCGGAGTGAGAGAGAACACGCGGAGATAGAGGGAACACGCGGAGTGAGAGAGCACACGCGGAGAGAGAGAGAACACGCGGAGAGAGAGAGAACACGCGGAAAGAGAGAGAACACGCGGAGAGTGAGAGAACACGCGGAGATAGAGGGAACACGCGGAGTGAGAGAGCACACGCGGAGAGAGAAAGAACACGTGGAGAGAGAGAGAACACGCGGAGAGAGAGAGAACACGCGGAGAGAGAGAAAACACGCGGAGAGAGAGAGAACACGTGGAGAGAGAGAGAACACGCGGCGAGAGAGAACACGCGGAGTGAGAGAGAACACGCGGAGAGAGAGAGAACACGGGGAGAGTGAGAGAACACGCGGAGAGTGAGCGAACACGCGGAGAGAGAGAGGGAACACGTGGAGTGAGAGAGAACACGCGGAGAGAGAGAGAACACGCGGAGAGAGAGAGAACACGCGGAAAGAGAGAGAACACGCGGAGAGAGAGAGAACACGTGGAGAGAGAGAGAACACGCGGAGAGAGAACACGCGGAGTGAGAGATAACACGCGGAGTGAGAGAGGGAACACGTGGAGTGAGAGAGAACACGCGGAGAGAGAGAGAACACGCGGAGTGAGAGAGAACACGCGGAGTGAGAGAGAACACGCGGAGAGAGAGGGAACACGTGGAGAGAGAGAGAACACGCGGAGAGAGAGAACACGCGGAGTGAGAAAGGGAACACGCGGAGTGAGAGAGAACACGAAGAGTGAGAGAGAACACGCGGAGAGAGAGAGAACACGCGGAGAGAGAGAACACGCGGAGTGAGAAAGGGAACACGCGGAGTGAGAGAGAACACGAAGAGTGAGAGAGAACACGCGGAGAGAGAGAGAACACGCGGAGAGAGAGAACACGCGGAGTGAGAAAGGGAACACGCGGAGTGAGAGAGAAGACGCGGAGTGAGAGAGAACACGAAGAGTGAGAGAGAACACGCGGAGAGAGAGAGAACACGCGGAGAGAGAGAACACGCGGAGTGAGAAAGGGAACACGCGGAGTGAGAGAGAACACGCGGAGAGAGAGAGAACACGAAGAGTGAGAGAGAACACGCGGAGAGAGAGAGAACACGCGGAGAGAGAGAGAACACGAAGAGTGAGAGAGAACACGTGGAGAGAGAGAGAACACGCGGAGAGAGAGAACACGCGGAGTGAGAAAGGGAACACGCGGAGTGAGAGAGAAGACGCGGAGTGAGAGAGAACACGTGGAGTGAGAGAGAACACGCGGAGAGAGAGAGAACACACGGACACCAAATACACTGCAGGCGTCGCCAGGGTCCGGGATTGAACCCACCACTTCCTGCGCACCAGGCAAAGGAGACAACGTCTACGTCGCTGCCGTCGCGAAGCTGATTCGCGTGAGTGGCCAGTGAGACCTATTTACCTGTCTTCAAGATCTTCGGGATTTCCGAGTCTATGCTCGTCCCGTTGTTACGGAGGGCAACAATCGCACTCTGTGTCTTGCTAGCGACGTCTTGCAAGGTGAGGTTGTCACCCAAGATCATGTAATCAACGATGACGCTGCCACTCCTGCGAAGAAATAACAATCAATCATTTACTTGATGACACCCTGTGACCAAGGTGGTTCCCGCCATACAAATGTGACATTTCCACCACTGGCTCAGGACGTTAGTTAGATGCGACCAACGGAGACAAATGGAAATTTGAACATCTGCTGTGCAGTTGACTTCATCTGCAAACGTGGCCTCAACCCCTGCAGGAAGTAGAAACAACACGGTGGGTGAGGACGTAAGCTGGTTCCATAGCTGAGCGATCAGTTGCTCAACGTGGTTGCATGCAACAAGTCGCTTTTGTAGAAACGTCAGATTAGCAAATGTAACCGATGATTGTTTTTTTATCGTCACCCCCATGAACATCATCATCATCGATGTTTGCAAAACACTCGCAAGAAGTCAGCAGGGGGCTTCTCCTTTGTTTAAAAACCGCCCCCCGTCATAGGAAGGTAGAATGTCCACTCCTGGTTCAGGGCTGCCGAACGGAAAATGGCATTGGCCCACGCTCACTCAAGCACGGGCAAGCTTGATGGGTCAGTTGTAAAAGTGTCCCTTCTCAGATCCTCATCGCCTGCACTCGGGAGCGTGTGTGCAGAAGCCGTAGCTTGTTTGACCAGCTGAGAACTTAAAGATATTAACAGAGACACACGTAGATGGACATACAGAGAGAGAGTGACAGACAGACAAGACATGCGGAGAGATGGATATACAGAGAGACAAACACACTGAAAGACAGGGACATACAGAGAGACAGACTGACAGTCGACACAGACATATCAAGAGATGAACAGGCCACACACAGGCAAACAGACAGGGACATACAGAGAGACAGACGTACAAGAGTAAGCAGCGAGACAGTGAAAGAGATATACAGGCCAAATAAATAGCTATAGGGAGACAGACCACACATACGTACTGAGACAGACAGGCAGATCAGACATATGGAGAGACAAAGAGACAAACAGAGAGACGTGCAAAAAGAGGGACAAACATGCCATGACAGGCTACGCACACAGAAGGACATGAACAGAGCAGGCAAGCGTTGATATGGGGCAGACCACACAGACAGACTATACAACCAATGAGACAGCACATGCAATCATGACGCACGTTGTGCGATAGAGACAAGGGCTGCGCTTTGCGTTGGAGGTCGGAGATACAACTGCCACGGGAGGTTTGCACTGATGTTGTTGTTCGACCATACTTCACCACGCTGGTCAGTGACGGCTGTTGGGGGGGGGGGCAGGGGGCCTGGGTACAGGACCGGTTCAGATTATCATTCGCAACTGATTTTAGCCACGGCCGGGGAATCGAACTTGGGTCGCCGAGTTCTCAGTGCCGTGCGTAAAATCACTGTTCGGTCTTCCCTGCCCTGCCCGACGAGTTTGTTTTTACATGCTTTTATTATTATTTAGACGCTTTTATTATTATTTACACGCTTTTATTTAACTCACTCTGTTGTTGTTGTATCCTCAAATATTGTAACTAAATTTTAACCCAATTCCCAATGTGGTATCGACTGCAAACTTGGTATACTTATGTCATAGTGATGACAATACTATATTCTATCATAAAATAATGAAAAATATATTTTTTTAAACATTATTATTTATATGTTATGTTTCGGCTTGGGTCTAATTGTCCACGCTCAACTGACATTGGCTGTAATTGCCCACGGTCCCTTTCGTTATGCCGCACGCTTTTATTTGTAGTCACTTACAACAACAGTATATAAAACATATATAATGCAAAGTACTTGAACAGAAAAAAACAACATTCAAAACTTTTTAGTACATTTAATAAAAGCGTGTTTAAAAAAAGAGTTGATTTAAATATATATTATTTTATTTAGCAGCCACACCGATCTGGCTCTGCCGAGGGGTCTCGTGAGGATTGTGATTAGGACAAGAGCCCCCCCCCCCCCCCCCCGGGACAACAGCGAGCTGGAGGCGTCTTCTGGGGGTCGTGAGACGCTGGCGCCTCACGACCCCCACCCTGCTTAGGTGGGGGTCGTGGGCTCAGGGCCCCCAGCCTGTGTGGAGCTTACATCGGGGAGGGGGGGGGGCAGGGGGAAGATAGTCAACATTCTAAAGGGGTCCAGATGTAGAGTGAGGGGGGGGATAGTCAACATTCTAAAGGGGTCCGGATGTAGAGTGAGGGGGGGGGATAGTCAACATTCTAAAGGGGTCCGGATGTAGCGTGAGGGGGGGGATAGTCAACATTCTAAAGGGGTCCGGATGTAGAGTGAGGGGGGGGATAGTCAACATTCTAAAGGGGTCCGGATGTAGAGTGAGGGGGGGGATAGTCAACATTCTAAGGGGTGCGGATGTAGAGTGAGGGGGGGGATAGTCAACATTCTAAAGGGGTCCGGATGTAGAGTGAGGGGGGGGATAGTCCAACATTCTAAAGGGGTCCGGATGTAGAGTGAGGGGGGGGATAGTCAACATTCTAAAGGGGTCCGGATGTAGAGTGAGGGGGGGGGATAGTCAACATTCTAAAGGGGTCCGGATGTAGAGTGAGGGGGGGGATAGTCAACATTCTAAAGGGGTCCGGATGTAGAGTGAGGGGAGGGATAGTCAACATTCTAAAGGGGTCCGGATGTAGAGTGAGGGGGGGGATAGTCAACATTCTAAAGGGGTCCGGATGTAGAGTGAGGGGGGGGGATAGTCAACATTCTAAAGGGGGTCCGGATGTAGAGTGAGGGGGGGGATAGTCAACATTCTAAAGGGGTCCGGATGTAGAGTGAGGGGGGGGATAGTCAACATTCTAAAGGGGTCCGAGATGTAGAGGTGAGGGGGGGGGGATAGTCAACATTCTAAAGGGGTCCGTGATGTAGAGTGAGGGGGGGGATAGTCAACATTCTAAAGGGGTCCGGATGTAAGTGAGGGGGGGGGATAGTCACATTCTAAAGGGGTCCAGATGAAGAGTGAGGGGGGGGATAGTCACACGATTCTAAAGGGGTCCAGATGAAGAGTGAGGGGGGGGATAGTCACATTCTAAAGGGGTCCGGATGTAGAGTGAGGGGGGGGGGATAGTCAACAATTCTAAAGGGGTCCGGATGTAGAGTGAGGGGGGGGATAGTCAACATTCTAAGGGTCCAGATGAAGAGTGAGGGGGGGGGATAGTCAACATTCTAAAGGGGTCCGGATGTAGAGTGAGGGGGGGGGGGATAGTCCAACATTCTAAAGGGGTCCGGATGTAGAGTGAGGGGGGGGATAGTCAACATCCTAAAGGGGTCCGGATGTAGAGTGAGGGGGGGGATAGTCCACATTCTAAAGGGGTCCCGGATGTAGAGTGAGGAGGGGGGGGGATAGTCCACATTCTAAAGGGTCCAGATGTAGGGTGAGGGGGGGGGATAGTCAACATTCTAAAAGGGGGTCGTGATGTAGAGTGAGGGGGGAGATAGTCAACATTCCTAAAGGGGTCCGGATGTTAGAGTGAGGGGGGGGATAGTCAACATTCTAAAGGGGTCCGGATGTAGAGTGAGGGGGGGGATAGTCAACATTCTAAAGGGGTCCGGATGTAGAGTGAGGGGGGGGGGATAGTCCAACATTCTAAAGGGGTCCGGATGTAAAGTGAGGGGGGGGGAGAGTCAACATTCTAAAGGGGTCCGGATGTAGAGTGAGGGGGTGGATAGTCAACATTCTAAAGGGTCCGGATGTAGAGTGAGGGGGGGGATAGTCAACATTCTAAAGGGGTCCGGATGTAGAGTGAGGCGGGGGATAGTCAACATTCTAAAGGGGTCCGGATGTAGAGTGAGGGGGGGGATTAGTCAACATTCTAAAGGGGTCCGGATGTAGAGTGAGGGGGGGGGATAGTCAACATTCTAAAGGGGTCCGGATGTAGAGTGAGGGGGGGGATAGTCAACATTCTAAAGGGGTCCGGATGTAGAGTGAGGGGGGGGATAGTCAACATTCTAAAGGGGGTCCGGATGTAGAGTGAGGGGGGGGGATAGTCAACATTCTAAAGGGGTCCGGATGTAGAGTGAGGGGGGGGAAAGTCAACATTCTAAAGGGGTGCGGATGTAGAGTGAGGGGGGGGATAGTCAACATTCTAAAGGGGTCCGGATGTAGAGTGAGGGGGGGGATAGTCACATTCTAAAGGGGTCCGGATGTAGAGTGAGGGGGGGGATAGTCAACATTCTAAAGGGGTCCGGATGTAGAGTGAGGGGGGGGATAGTCAACATTCTAAAGGGGTCCGGATGTAGAGTGAGGGGGGGGATAGTCAACATTCTAAAGGGGTCCGGAGGTAGAGTGAGGGGGGGGATAGTCAACATTCTAAAGGGGTCCGGATGTAGAGGTGAGGGGGGGGATAGTCAACATTCTAAGGGTCCGGATGTAGAGTGAGGGGGGGGATAGTCAACATTCTAAAGGGGGTCCGGATGTAGAGTGAGGGGGGGGATAGTCAACATTCTAAAGGGGTCCGGATGTAGAGTGAGGGGGGGGATAGTCAACATTCTAAAGGGTCCGGATGTAGAGTGAGGGGGGGGATAGTCAACATTCTAAAGGGGTCCGGATGTAGAGTGAGGGGGGGGGGATAGTCAACATTCTAAAGGGGTCCGGATGTAGAGTGAGGGGGGGGGGATAGTCAACATTCTAAAGGGGTCCAGGATGTAGGTGAGGGGGGGGGATAGTCAACATTCTAAAGGGGTCCTGATGTAGAGTGAGGGGGAGATAGTCAACATTCTAAAGGGTCCGGATGTAGAGTGAGGGGGGGGATAGTCAACATTCTAAAAGGGGGTCCAGATGTAGAGTGAGGGGGGGGGATAGTCAACATTCTAAAGGGGTCCGGATGTAGAGTGAGGGGGGGGGGATAGTCAACATTCTAAAGGGGTCCGGATGTAGAGTGAGGGGGGGGATAGTCAACATTCTAAAGGGGGTCCGGATGTAGAGTGAGGGGGGGGATAGTCAACATTCTAAAGGGGTCCAGATGTAAGAGTGAGGGGGGGGGATAGTCAACATTCTAAAGGGGTCCGGATGTAGAGTGAGGGGGGGGATAGTCAACATTCTAAAGGGG